CCTTGTTAGGACAGTTTTGGCTTTATTGCACTCTCATTAATATCTATGTTTCATAATTTCCTAAAATTTTTATTCAGTTTTAAATTTAATTTACACCTATTGGGACAGGCTATCCCACTATTTAAGGTGTCTCTAATGTAGCGAGAAGATTAATCAATACTATCGACGGATATTTTAGGGACATAAAAAAAAATTAATTTACACATTTTATCAGGATATTTAGTGTCTTTAGTTATTAATAGACTATTTTACACATTTTATAAATATATATTAATAAAATTTATATTAATTAGAAAACCATATCAATCCTACTTATAAAATTATATTTAAATTTTATCATTTGTTATATTTTATCACATTATTATTTTATGTTACAATAATATTATATCAATAATAGTATAGTATGTCACGTTAAAAATCATATTATCATTTAGTTAATATTACTAAATGACTAATTAGTTGGATGTTAAAATCTGTAAAAATCTGTAAATATTAAAAGTTGGATAGTAAAATTTATAAAATCAAGATATATAAATAAAAATAGTGTAATTAAACTTGCAATATCTTTTTTCCTTGATGAATCTTGACCTTTACAAGATTTGTTTGGTATAAATTATAGTTGATCTTAAAAAAAAATTGATTTATTTCTAAGATGGGGTCCGAATCGATCTGACCCAGATTTCATTTACAGCAATACTGTAATATGTTGTTGTTCAGTGTTAGAAGTTCTTCCCAATAAATTAACTATAGTGCTCAACAATAATCCACTGAATCACTGTAATCGTGCAGTGTCTAAGCCAGCAAAGGAGGAACAGCAATAATGATCATAAAGAAAGCTCAGGATACTGACGAGACAAGTGAATCACTGTTGGTTATTGATGCATAGTAGAATATCTATAACTTGGATTCTATCAAACGTGCAAATGCATGTACAAGATTACCAAAAAATAGCAAATAAATGCTATACCCTAGGTTGAACTTTAGCCAACCTTAATAAAGAATAAATCCCAGGATGGCTAAAGACGTTGGACACTCAATCCAATTTATTGTATTTTAATTTTTCGCTTTTTTTTTTTTTGTGTCCACTAATGTTGAATATCACTCGAATGCTTATTTAATCATTTTTGTTTGAAAGGAGGTTAGTCCCAGAGGAAACTACATCAGAAGCCACCAGACCCCAACAAGTCAAAAATGTACAATGCTGAAAGAAGAGAATTTCATTATTTAAGGGGATATACAATTTGACACACTCATAAACTAAAGTAAAAACCAACTACATATTTAATTTAAATATTTAAAGTAAAAACCAAAAATATTAAATAATCATAATAGTTACTTTGTTATTGTTCAATAAGCATATCATCTTAAATGAATAAAATAGTCAAGGTTGGCCAAAGATTAGCTTGGACATATTAAATTAATAAAAATATATTAAAACTAATTACATTTCACCATTCTCATGAAAATGTATTTCAAATTTATATACAAATCATGGTGGTAATTAACGATTTGGAAAACGATTAATTACATTAAATATGAAGGATATATATATAGATCCTAAAACAAACATGTTAGATGTAGCTAGACACAGTAATGAGGATCCAATGAAGATTATAAAAAGCAAAAGGAGGTTCAAAAGGGTGTCAGAAAGTAATGAAGAAAAAGTATGATGAAACATTAAAATGGCACACGTGATGGTCCCAAGCAATGCGTCTAATATTTGAGCATAATCCAAAGTCTATTTGGCATGTTAATCTTTGCTCCCAGCACCACTTTTTCCCCGTCGCTGATGCAATCGTGTTCCCTTTATCTTCATAGTGTGGGGGACAGAATGAGACTCCAAACGCCACCCTGACCCCAAATCCAATCAGTCAACTATCACAAATTTGTACATAATCAGCCACTGACAAGCATTAAGAAAAAGAAGCAAAAAAAGAAAAAGAAAGTCGATGTGTATAATTGAAATGAAATATTGAAACATCGCATTCTATTGCATCAGAAGGGAGAATACGCGACTTACTAACTCGTGTCTTGATCGCGTGATCTACCCCTCGTGAATGTATAACAATAATCGATTTAATAAAAAAAAATTACATTATTTAATTATTAATCAAACTTTTAAGTAGGATCATTCTTTTATGTTAGATAAGACAAATCTTTTTTAAAAAAATCAAATGTTAGATATGACAAGTCTTTCAAAAAAAACTGAATAAAATATAAACAAGTGAAGCTTAGGTTATATATTTTTAACTAAAGTAAGATCTAATAAAGTTTACACTTAATTCTAATTTTACAGAATTTTTATGTCTATTTTGACTCTAATGGACTTCGGGAACTCAATATATCTAAACTTTCAAATAAAATAAAATAAAAAAACCTAATTTCACCCTTATGCATCCGATATGTGTATCTTACAAGTTTTTACTTGGGTTAAATTAGACCGTTAGTTTTTCTTTTTTCTTTTTTTAATTTATAATTTTATTTCTTCTATTTTAAAATAAAGATATTTAGTCTTTATATTCTCTAAAATATAAAATTTTAATTCTCTCATCAATTTGACAGTGATCTATCATCACTTAAATAATATACAAAAGATTTTTATTTGTATATATTTTTATGAGTTATTGATATTTATTTTATTAATAAAAAATTTATTTATATATTTTTTCAATTATTTTATCTTTAAATGTCATATTACTGAATATCATATTACTTAAATATGAGTAAACGTTAAAATTTAATGATTAATATATGTTAATTTATTGGAAAGATCAAAATTTTGTGTTTTTAAAATTAGAAAGACTAAATATCTCTATTTTTAAATAGACTGACCAAAATTATTAATCGATGAAAATAAAGAAATCAAAATTACAACTAATACTTTTACCGTTAAAACGGTACAAGTTATATCGGTAAATAAATTTGGTACACTATACACGTTCACACTATATATTGCATATTAAATAACATTACATGTCGTCCATAAAAAAATAAAAGAAGAAAAGATTGACATGCATGTATCTTTTAATATATCACATATTAAAAGACACTACATTGCATGTGCTCTACAACTGCGCATGGTCTGAATTCAGACGAACTGCGGAACGTGACATGCAAAAAATTTCAAAGATATATAGAAAATACAAATAATTGATTTCAGTGCAATAAATTCTAAATGGAATTTCAAACTTACCCAAACAAAAAGCTAAATTCTACCAGTACTACATGTAGTTTTTCACACCAGAAGCATATATACATATGGAAAAAAAGAAAGAAAAGAATAAGCTATTGAGCAAAGAAAAGAAAGAACTGATATTTACGACTAGATGGATTCATTTGTTTTTGGATTTTGGATCCATAATAAGGTTCAAATAGTAAAGAAGATGTACCTAAGTACTCACCTAGCCTAGTGGTATTATATATAATAAGGCCCAACTTGCAAAGTATGAACAAAGCCAGAAGACAAAATAATTGTGGGGAAAATAAGATAAAAATAATCATCTCTCAGGAAATTTAAGTGCCGATAAAAAAAAATTTAAATACGTTTCAAGGAAAATATTTGAAACCAGAACAAAGGTAGCCAGGATGAGGATGATGATGAGAAATACATTTTGGATAAATATTTGTTTTTACAGAAGCATTCTTAATAAGTTGTAAAAACTTTAAAATTATGTTAATCCAAATACAGTTATACACACCTAGTAGTTTAAATAATTGTTTATAAACAGAAAAAAATTTCTTTACAGCAAAAGTTGTCATTAAACGACTTGCTTGTCTGTTTTTGAAGTGTCGACTTAAAGAAAACATGGAAATCTGGAATCAAATCAATTTATCTATTTCTACGAGTTTAATTTTCATCACACACACAAAAAATCAATTTATCTATTTTCAAACCACTATAGTAACGCCAAATTTTTGGTTTAATCAAGTAGTTCGGTAGTACCTTTTCAGCTGGAATAACTTAAACATAGTCCACCGAGATTTCTCTCAATATAGTTATTTCCAAACCACTAATGTATCGCCATAGTTTGCGTTGTCCTTTATTCATTTTAATCGGACATGTACCCCACTTAAAGATGTTAAGAATATTAATCGGATTATTATAAACGTGTACCCTTTTTTATATACATTTTGGGAATAAAAGTCTGCCTTTCTAATATATCCTAGTGAGCATTGGATTTTGTAATATTTCATTGTGTTGTAATGACAATGTAGAAAAATACGTGATGCAAATTGAAATTGAAGGATGATTCATTCAAGTGAATCTGGCAGATACTCGAAGAACGAGCAAGACGAACCAAAATCACAAGATGATGACAAATTGACCATGTTTTTAAATTCAATATTTGTTGAAAACAAGAAATTTTGCACCATTACTCTCAACTCGATATCCCACCCCTTTTCCAAATTCTATTAGAAAACTAAAGAATATATCTTTTACAAATTGAAATTTTGTAACCACGTTTCTTATACTGTCTTTTTAATAAAAATTACAATTTTCTGTGATAGTGAGCTCCTCCTAGTTTGACTATGCCTTGAGAATGAAATAAAGAGATCGGTAGAGTGATCAGCCACTTGTGCCACGAACAATTATGATTCGAAAAACAAGTAATTCAGAACCTTCTTTGGCATACATACATTCGGTAAACAGACAACAATGCAAATATGTCATATTCCTATAAAGATATTTAAATAATAATAATAATAATAACGTTGATTCACTAATCCACACTTCAAATGCCAAAATAAATGAACATATTAAATTTGCTAACCAGAAGAGATACAAGACCTTGCCAGAAATTAATAAAGCACACTGACTATACTAAAACCATACAGGCAGTTGTGTAGGAAGTTTTCATTGATGATGTGCCCACAATGACAATGAAGATTCCATTTATTCTTTCCAGCTATAGGTAGCTCGGTCAACAACTAAATAGTCTCCCCTGATATCCTTTACAACTCGAAGGTCATCATCGAGGTACACAGTATCAAACCTGCAGGAACAAGATGCAACCACAGACAGCATCACAAAAATAAAACTTCTCAAGACTCCAATATCTTTGTTCATACCTTTTACCCCTAAACTCATACATGAATATATATAAAACAAGAGACAAGGGACTGTAACATAACTTCCTTTTCTTTTAGGAATTAGTGTCTAGGAAATAGCACTCACTTAATTTTAGCCTTGTAAGTTGTATCTTGAAGTACAAGTGTATACATACATATATATGTTTGTATGTGTGAGGCCGAGAGTCTTTTCACTTGAGCTATTCCATCCTATCACTCTCATTTTAACATGGTATTAAATAAGTAACCATCTCCTTGACCAAATCTATTTCACCGCCAAGATCCCAAAATATGGACCATCTTTGATTGGTGCCTGATATTTATTTCTACGATGCAAACAACTTTAGTTTCACCTTTTCTCATCAGCCTCTGCTGGCAATCATTTAAAGCGACCTTCAATCACCGGTGACTTTAGCAGTGAACTTTTCTGGCAACCTGCAACTGCCAATGAATTCTCCACTTAACATTCACCAATGTATTTTAAGTGACCTATTGCCAGTGACTTTTACAGCTAGCTTACCAGTGAACTTTACTGGCAAGATAGTCCCCGTAGTACCTCAATTATCCCTTCACTTGTTTTGTCAGCTGCAAACAGTACCAGACAAAACCCAATCGTCTATGGCTCTCACCATATTCTCACTTGTGTCAATCTCCAGCTGCCACATTATTCTTAGTTGTCTCAATCCCCTGCTATCTTTCTCAATCTCAGCTGTGTCGATCTCTAACTGTCATCTGATCACTATAGTTATGAATTAATGAGAAAAAATTAATGTCTTTCTTTACCAATATTCTACACCTATATAATTCTTTTTTATAAAATTTTATTAACGTATCCAAGATGTATCATATTCTAAATTTAAAAAGAAATTGTATCGGTGTTGTATCCTTCCTATGTCATACTAAATATCTAGGCTTCTTAGGTCATCTCAAACTTTCTTATGCTATACTCCAGTTATTGTCACCCTTCAATGGAATTCTAGCAAGGTTCCGTTGTTGCCTTCATTCTTACATATTGTATGATTACCAGTCATGACGTGCCCCATTGACATTGTTCTCTTTATTTAGATTGAGCATTTTCCAAATCCATTTTATTGTGCCACTTTTTCTGGCATACTTCAACAGTGTGTTGAATGATGTTCCTTTTTGAGTCTAACTCATCCATGTGTTGCCTTTAAAACCATGATTAGTTGAGACCATGGTTTTTAAAATCAGACCAAACTGGCCGGTTCAACCGGACACGGGTCCTAGTCAAGTTCATTGGTTCAAATGTTCTGCAAAACTGTTCTACAGTGAACCAGTAAAAAATCAGTAAAACCAGCTAAGAACCAGTAAAACTGGTGAAAATGAGCAATTCAACCGGTTCAGACAGTTTTGCAAAAATGAGCACTTATATATATATATA